GTGGACATCTTTCATGTTCAAATATGAATTTAAGAAAATTTGAAAGACTAGTGAGAGTATCACGGGTTCCGTTTCGATTATCTGAACAGTTAATTTTGTAAGTCTCTCAATATATATTATTCATGAAAAAAATTAAATTGATATGATAATTGTAATATTTTCATTTTATCGTATTTTGTCTCTGAAAAAATAAAAGACAAATATATTTTTGAAAATAGACTATCAATTTTCTTGAAAACAAACGCGATAAAATAAACGGTTCAAATCATCAAAATGGGATCGATAATGAGCTCCTTAAATCCTTTTAAATAAAAATATTAATTTGAAAGAATTCAATCTTATTTTTTAAATGTAATTAAATATGGAGTTCGGATCCTTTGTTGGCCTTCCTAGAGTGCCCCCAAAATGACATCACTTTGGGACAAAAATTCTATAAAAAAAAAAAAAGAACTAGAGAAACAGAGAAAGAAGAAAAACAGCACTGACAATCCACACCCTCCGCTCTCCCTTCACCTACCGACATCACTCTTCGACCATCACAACATTGCCATATCAAACTGTAGCAACACCGATCCGTAATAAGCTCATAATCTGTAATTAAGAATGTTAATTAAGTTTTAAGAAATAGATTATGTGTTAATTGTGCATCTTGTATGTGTTTTGCATTCCTATATTTTAGTCGTAGGAATATTTGTTCAAAATCCTGTTTTGTTTTGTTTTGTTAATTGAAGGCCTTATCGATATCCGAACATGAAATTGTCTATGTCAACGTATTATTTGGAATTTTTAGAATTTTATGGTAAGTTTAAGTAGAATTCGATTCGGAATCAAATAATTAGCATAAATTAATTATAGATAACGGCATAATCAGCTATATGATCTGTAAGTGGGTCTTTATGACCATCTCATGTGTATATGGATCTTTATGACCAATTCGATCTGTTAGAACTAATGGATGTACCACGTATGACTGTTTACAAGTTTGAATGAGTATTGAATCTGTTTTTGATCTAAATTTTAATTTCTGAATCTATTATGGACATCATTTATAAAATCTTTACTCTGTTGTTATTCACTAAGCTCCAGCACATTATTTATATTATGTGCGTAGGTGATCCGGTGCGTGACTAGGTTTGAGACTTTCGATCTGGATCAATTTTGTCAGCCAACCATCGTGCCTCACGAGGGGGTTCTTGATTAATAGTTGTGGTCAAGTTTGTGAACCAATCTTAAGCTTTATTTTCTTTTGTTTTGATTTGAACAGCTTTTTGTGTAATATGTAATAGGGCTAAGTCTCTTTGTCTATCTGTATTGGTAATGACACAAGTACAACGTCATATTATATGTAAATATAAGTTTGAAATTTTTCTGTCTCATTTAAGTTTGCACAGCAACTCTATGGACGATATATGTTTATATTTTGTTTCCGCTAGCCTCTTATATTATGTATCTGTTTAAGAGGCCTTCGGTAATGTTAGGATTATTGGTTGGTCACGTTACTAAACCTATGGGGGTGAGTTTGGGTTGTGATACAAACCCACTCTACCTTTCATTTCTCTTCTTCCTCTTTTTCTTCTTCTGATTGATGAGGCGTTTACGTGAGAGGCGACTACGGAATAGAAGCGGCCTAAACCCTAGATCTAGATCGAGATGGTGGCCGATCGTTGATAACGAGAGAGAAAGACAAGGGGGCTTGCGGTTATGGAGGTAGTGGTGGTGGGTTGGTAGTTTTAAAGAGAAAAATGAGGAAGAAGAAGAAGAAGAAGAGGAAGGAAAGGTAGGTTGTGGCGGTGATGATGGAAAGATGGTGGCACCATAGGTGAAGGGAGACCAAGGTCGCCGGCTATGAAGGTCACGATGGTGTGGGCTACCCGCTAATGCCTTCTTTCTTCTTTCTCTGGTTCTATTTTGTATTTTGTATTTTTTTTTTTTGAAATTTTGTCCCAAAATGACGTCATTTTGGAGCACCTCAGGAAGCCCAGCAAATGATCTGGACTCGTAATGATGTATGTGATTTATAGCTTTGAAGAAGTTTTGTACCTTTTGAGTTGAGCATCATTTCCATTCTCCAGAATAAGTGTATTATTTTTTTCAAAAATTTTGATTATTGAAGAGTACGTGTTGAACAGTAATATCATATCAGGTCATTGTGGACAAATGACATTATTATCTAATAATAAAATTAATCATTTCCATTCTCGAGAATAAGTGTATTATTTTTTTCAAATTTTTTGATTATTGAAGAGTACGTATTGAACTGTAATATCATATTAGGTCATTGTAGACAAATGATATTATTATCTAATAATAAAATTAAATAAGATAAATAATCGTACCCTACAAATGTGAAAGTTAATATATTTGTTAGATTTGATACTTATATTTACATGATAAGATTCACACATACATACTATTTATTGTTTTATATTTGAATTATGATTTCACCTTTGGATTAAAAATATTCTTCCATTTCTTCTTTAAAGATTACATTTAGCTAATCGATGATTTATTACTACCTGTTTTTTTTTTTTCCCCTCTATTTCTTTTTTCTTTTTTTACTTAAAAAATAAAATAATAGATGACTATCAATAGATGATAATCCTTTACTAGGTGAAACTATACAAGTTTTCAGTAACTATAGGGTTGGATTTTTCTTATATTTACATTTTAACTTGAGAGAATTTGAGGAATCAGTAAAGTCTATCATGGAATTCGATTATCTCAACATTAAATAAATTTAGTTTTATCTGACAATCTCAACGTTTTTATTTTATTGCATTTGCCATTGAAAAAATGAAGGCTCCTCAAATTCTCTCCTGTTAAGATATGAATATGAGACAAACCAAATCCAAAAAATAAGTTTATAGGAAAGAGACAAAAAGAGATTTAGCATTAATCCTTATTAGTAATCTATTCAATACAGTATTTTTTATATTTATAATTATTATTTTATCAATTGAATTTTTTTTTAATAAATTATAATCATTATTCAACTGTGAAGTTTAAATCCCTCTAAATAATTAAATAAAATATTTGATCAAATTAACCTTTGTAAGAAATTTATGTTTTAATTTTTTTAGCAGAATTTATATTTTATTTTATTTATTAGAATAAAATGAAATCAGATGAAACTTAGGAATGAGTTGAACGGTGAAAATTTAAACTTAAGATCCAAAATATTGAATTTGAGTCATCCTAAATTGAAAATTTATCAGTGTAAACTTAAGACTTGGTAGATGAGACCTGAGACTTGGAGGTCAGGTTTGACTCTTCTCCCTGGCAAAACTTTTAGAGTCAAGACGGTAAGTAATACATTTAGAGTGAATTATACAAATAGTCCTCATAATTTGGGACTTATATTATTTTGGTTCTTAACTTTTTAATTGTGATATATTTGATTTTGAATTTTAAATTTTGTTTTAAATAAGATTAATTGAAAATATTATTAGATTTTTTAAGGATAAAATCATCAATTTGATAAAATATAAACTAATTTGACAAAAATAAATGTCAAACAAATATTTTTGAATTTTTAAAATTTATTTCTACTCATTAAAAATAAAATTATGTAAAATTGATAAATCTTTTAAACAATTATTTATTTTTTTTATCAAATGAATTTTTATTATGTGTTTGGATGATAATCATGTAAAATTAATTTAAAAAAATTAATCATGTAATTTTTATTAATTTTTACCAGTTTTACATAATTTTATCATTGGTGGATAAAAATAATTTTTTGACATTTATTTTTGTTAAATTAGTTTATATTTTATTAAATTGACAATTTTGCCTTTGAAATTAAACAATGGTATCTTCAATTATCCTTATTCGGAACAAGATTCAAAATTTAAGGTCAAATGTGTCACAATTGAAAAGCCAGAGACAAAAGTGACACAAACTCCAAACTATAGGGATTATTTGTGTAATTTGCCCATAAATCTATTTCGAAAGACTTCTTTGAAGAGTAGAGATTTAAGCCTTGTTTGGCATAACCTATTTTAGTCCATCTTTTTATCTTTTTTGGGTCACATCAATCAACATCTCCTCTCTATTTTTCTACATATCTTTTTATAAAAAGTCAAAAAATATACTTATTTAGGATATCTCAAACCACCCCTTAATCTGGTGGGTACAAACTGACCCAATACCTACATATTCAAAAAACTTGAGAATTGTGGAATTAAAAAAAGAGACATTTATATACAACTCTTAATTTATGAACTCATATTCCATTAAGTGCTAATTATGATTTTTTGAACTTTCAAGTCCCATTAAATTTGTAATGGTTGGAATTATCCTTCAAATAATAATTGTTCATCATTTATAATTATTTATAAAGGAACATGATAATTTAACATTTATTTTGATTTTCAAAACTTTAAAACATCAGCTTTCAAATTGAAAAAACTAAAAAAAAATATGTGCAAAAAAAAAAAAAGTTGAATTTTTTTTTGAAAAAACCAAATTATTATTTTTTGTGCAAAACTGAAAACTTTGTGTCTAAAGGAGTATGATGATAGAACATTAATGTGTAAAACTGAAAAAAAAAACTTTAAAAATGAAAAAAATAATAATGTTTTCAGTTTTAAAACTGGAAAAAACTGATAATGTTCTTGATTTTATTGGATAGTTGAATCAAACTAATAAATAGAAGGGCAAAAATATTTAATTTCATACTTTATTTTTTTTATCAGTTATTGAAATAATTATCTAGAATATTACTATGCAAAATTGATAATATTTTTAGTTTAAAAAATTGAAAATATTTTCAATTTTACTAAATAGAATTTATTGGTTCAAAATTTTTTAGGTAAGACCTGAATTACTATAACATTTGTAAATAGAATTTTTACGTAATTAATCCTTTAAAAAAAAATGTATTTTTTATTATGTTTTTTTATCAATGAAACATCAAAATTAGATATTTTTCCACTTCATCCCAGGAACGAGAACACTACCTAGAGGATCAAATCCTAGTGAATACAAAGACAAGACGAGACAAATTCAATCCCCACATGAAAATGATGATTTTAACGGATTTTTGAAAAGCAAAAAATACAGTTTTGCCCTACTTGCAAACTCCTCTCGTCACCCCTCCTCTCCTCTCCTCCACTTGCTGCAGATTAGAATAAACCCAACTTGCGTGAACTCTCAAAATTCTCTTGCACTTGCTTTGCTTTGCTTTGCGTTGCGTTTCCTGCGATTTTTCGTTGCCCTCTCTGTCTTGCCTCACCCAAATTAGCTAGGGTTTCATTTTTGGTAACTTCGTGGAGATCTCTCAATATCAAACAACAAGTATGAAATCGATAATATGCACAGACCGTACATGTCCTTCACCATTCAATTACAATTTCAATTTCAATTTTATGCCTCCGGTAGCATCAGCGGCCAGGGTGGTTGCAAAGGCGCCGCGCAAATCAATTTTCGCCGCTGCGTCCGTTAACGGCAATGGCAATTCAATAAATGGCAATGGAAGAAGAAGGATATTAACAACAACAACATCATCACCACCAACACCAACTACGAGTAATGGTACGGCTACAATAGAATTGGAAATGCCTTCATCTGGTGCAGCTAATAGTGCTTTAGAGCAGCTTGATTTTGAACGCGGTGTTTGCGTTCCTTTTCGCAAGTACAGCCCTGAGATGGTAATATGATCAACTAGACAACAAAATCAACCCCTCAAATTTCATTTTGTTAAATTTTATAAACTTTTGTTTTTGTTCTATTTGTTATATTAGGTGAGGAGTAAGGTGTTGGAATCTAGAGGGGCTATTCTGTCCCTTATGGCCCGTGGAATTGAAATAGTATGGAATTTGGGATTCTATTGGTCTACCTTAATTTTTGATTTTTGGGTGGGTCGTGACGAAGAAGTTGTTCCTTATCGCGCTCGTCAGCTTAGGAATCTCTTGTGTGATTTAGGCCCTTCCTTCATCAAAGCTGGACAGGTCTGGAAATTTTTCATTGACATCATATTCTTTATTGTTGATTGAATGCTTTACAATTTGTTTTCTGTTTATCTAGCTGAGCCCTAGTGTTTTAAAACATAGATCAAACTATGTGGGATTGCGCAAACCATCATTTTTTAACAATTGGTCGGAGGAAAATAGAGAAAGGGGAAGCTGCATCACATAGTTGTGAGACTTGAATCCTTATCATTCCTGATAATCGCTTGGTTTCATCAATTCATTTGGCTCTCTTTTGTTGAAATCTTAGAAGAACATTGTTGTGTTTTGTTTCCTTTTTTGATATATTCGCATATGTATTCATGACATAAAATTTGTGACTTGTAAATTTCAGTTTACTTGTCATGATCCTATCTGCCCCAAACGGAAATAAAGTTGTGACCGGCCAGTAGTCCTAGACTACTGAAGGCCTAGCTAAACAAAACATTGGTAGTCCTAGATCAATTTTATTTTGATTAGTGGAAGCCATCAAATCTATTTAGTCAGACCATTTATAACATCGATTCAGAGCAATTGCGAAATTATATAGAATGGAACATTTAACATCTTTGGTTATACCTTTCAAAAACTTCATAAGGAGTACAAAACTTTGCAAAAGGAAGCAACTCTCTTTCGAAGCTGAATATATACATGCTCCAAACTCTCAAACATAAACTTCCATTCTATGAACAGATATACAAGCTTAAACAAGCAACATTCTTCATGCCACATCTTCTTCACCTACATGCATAGACAGGAGAGGGGTGAGCCAAAGCCCAATGAATAGTGATATATCAAAGTAATTTTGAGATAAGATATCTCCAGTTAAAATGATTATATAAGTAATCCAAAGCTTAAAAGCTAAATTTGCATTTGAAATTTAACGTATCTTATGCATTTCCATTTCAAAACTTAGGAGTTGTTTGGGGTATCCTAAATAAGTGTACTTTTTGGACTCAAAAGTTGAGGAAGAAAATATGATTGTTTGGGTTAACTTTTTGACTTTTTATGAAAAAATATGTATTAAAAAATTGTATAAATTAGTGTGTAGATGAAAATTAGGATTGGGAGTTGTGCAGCCGTAATTTTTGATTTTTGGTGAATAGTGATAATTTTTTAACTTTTTGAGTAACTTTTTGGCTTTTTGACTTTTTTTACACTTTCCAAACTTGGCCTTAGTGTTAATGGCCATCCATAAAATACGAAACAAAACATAACTGAGATGGTTCCGACTATGCCAAAACCACATTCTAAATACCGTTCACAAAGCCAATATTATCAGTAGATTTATGTCTCCTAATAGTTGCTGGGACAAATACTATTGGTAGATTTATACCCCCTAACAGCCACTGCCACTGGGACCCAATACTAATACTATTAGTAGATTTACAAAAGGTCAAAACAATCCACACGCAGGCCCAAAAATAGTAGAAGTGGTTCCAATAGGTCAAAACAATAAAAGAAGAGCTTTAACAAAGTATTGGACTTCTGCTCATGCGGGTGTTTGGGGCTCCACATGCGGATTCTCATAGTCTGCCATCCAGGGTCTACTGAACAAATCTGCTCGTATGGAGGCTCTGTGCCGCTGCTACCTTCTTCTCCTTCGACTTCAAACTATTCCAAACTTAATTTTCACCATTCTAAGGTCTAAATATTAAACTATGGAATAACATGTGAAACTTATGAGTTTGAAATGCTTCTATAAAACTTTAGAAACTTCCTTTCCAAAAGCTTGAATTCTTACCAATTCATTCCTTGAAACCAACTTTCTTCATTATTTCTTTCAAATCTGGTTCCATTATGAATTCTATCAATCAAGAGAGGTGTAACAAGATAGAAACATGGAAATCTTACCTTAAAACCAACTAGAAACAAACTCTAGATCAAGAGCTTAAGGCTCCTTCCACCGATCAAAAAAATAACTTGGGTCTCCTTTCTTTCTTTATTCTCTCTTTTCTCTCTTCTCTTCTTCCTTTTTGTGCAGACTCTCTCTCTCTCTCTCTCTCTCTATACATATATATATCTTTATTTTTCTCTCTTTCGTAATATAAGAGAGACACTTGTCTCTCATATACACGTATCTATCCTCTAAAGTAGGACGTGGCTTGCCACCTTGTGAGGTGTGTGGATGCTTCACCCTTTCACTAATCCTCCAATTAACTTAATTAAACAAGTTTAACTGCTAATCCTGGTTAAGTTATTACATATTTTATTGAATTATCTAGCACATTTGATTAAAGCTATTAAACACCTTGATTAAGACTTAGCAAACACATACATGTTTATTATGCTCAAAAGGAGACTTCCATCTTGTCCCCTCCTTATCTCCCAATTCATAACAAAGAAGTGTACATATTCAATACTTTGTAACTATGACGTTCCTAAGTTTCGTTAGAGATATTTTCTTTAAGAATAGATATGCTCATGTCACACAGTAGTACCTAGGATGTTACATTACTAGTTCAAGCTCAGGTCTTGCTTAAAACAAACTGCAAGCAACATATGATTTAAGTTGTTGATTGTCTATTGGTTGGATATTTTGCTTGTGTTTTTTAAACAGGTTCTTGCAAATAGACCTGATATTATTAGAGAAGATTATATGAATGAACTTTGTATTCTTCAAGATGATGTTCCTCCTTTTCCCAATCAGGTACTAAACTAAAATTTCTCACTTGTATATTAATGAGCATTTTTCTTACTTTGCTGGAATGGAAATCCTTTTCTTTAAGCAGCATGTGGTTAAAATGATTTAGGTTGCCTTCAACATTATAGAAGAGGAACTGGGTCAACCCCTTGAAGCTGTTTTCAGCAAAATTTCCTCAGAAACTATAGCAGCTGCCAGTCTGGGTCAAGTTTACCGAGCTACTCTACGTGCCTCAGGGGAGGACGTTGCTATTAAGGTTGTAATAAGTTCATCTGGTAAAGTTCTTGTCATGTTATCAAATTATATTGTCATTTATCACTTCTTAACCATTTGAAACTTGTTCAATCTGGTGGTTGTTCGTCATTGCTGGAATGACTATATTGGTTAACCTCCCTCAAGGCATTTTAGAATAGATTTTGGAACTGGCATAAAGAAAGGAGAATGACTGCAAACATGTTTGTTATAGCGGATTGAGAAACTTTCATAAATATTTCTTACAAAGGACACTTTTTAGGAAGCTCCTAAAAGCTGTCTTGTGTGTTTTTAAGGACCTAATGCACAAGAAAAATGACAAAAATGATTTTTTTTTTTTTTTTCTTTGGGTTGAAAAATTCATTGTTTTCCTTTTTAGTATTAAAAAGAAAATAAACTGAATGGGAATGAGTTTTTTGAAATGTATGTAGCACATATATTTATATTTTATGTGTAAGTTAGGGGTGACCATTGGTTCAATGGTTAAGACTTGACCTAATAACCTTGAGGTTATGGGTTCAAGTCTTGGGCCCATCACTTTGTGTATTATGCCAAAGGTTAGGTGTTGACTCAATCTTTACCCTCCCAAACACACATTAATGTGTACTAAGTGGGCGTTGTTTTTTTTTTTTTATGTGTAAGTTAGATACTGAGAAGGCCTATGATAATGTGGATTGTGAGTTTTTGTTTTACGTGTTGGAGAAGATAGGCTTTGGTGGATAGTGGATTAGGTGGCTATGATTTTGTATCAGCTTCTGTCACATTACACTGTTTGCTTGCAATGGTAAAAGCTCAGTCTCCAAGTTTGGGAATACAGGTTTGAGTTTGAAGGTAGTCACTTTCTGCAAATTATGCTAAAGGTTAAGTTTGTACCCAGTCTAAGCCTCACAACAACCTTGATTATTAGGGGTAACACTAGGTTGATGACCTTTTCTTATTGTAGTTCCCACATTATTCTTTCTTCCCTCTGTTAGCCTGTTAAGTGAGTTCCCCTGTATTTAAGCAGGTTTAACATGCTTGTGTCTCCAAAAGTGAGTGCGCATTTTTGGTAAGTTTGACTCTCAACTCTCAACCTAACTCTTTTACACATGCAAGGTTTCAATTGTATACACAATTTCTTTTGGGTCTTTGGTGAATGAAAGCATGTTGGTGTAAAGCGAAGTCCCACATTGCCCGAGTACTAAAGTATTGTTAAGCATATAAGCATGCGGCCACCCTCACCTCTTGAGCTAGCTTTTGGGGTTGAGTTCTACCCAAGTCCATGAAACAGTTTGTTCTTTTGCAACTCATCTTAAGATTGTGATGGTAAAATTTCATGTATTTCACCTTTATGAAACTTTGTTATGGGTGAGGATAGTTGCAACACACATCTTAGAGGCTATTTCCAAGATCTCTTGAAGAATATTTTCTAGAAAAAAAAAAAAAGAATTGAGTATTCAAAACAGAGGTAATTGCAAGGAAAGTAGATAGTTTGGTGGATGAAATCTCACGACAATGCAATTGAGGGATGTTCAATGAAAATAGGAGGGAATAAAAGTAGCATCTATGAAGCATGGACACCTCTTCGGAGGTGGCGTACAGGTGTTGGACATGCTGGGACACTTGGGACATGCCACGGACACGTTGACGACACGCTAGGGACATGCTAAGGACATGTTGGGGACATGCTGAGGACACGTTTTTTTTTATAAAAAAAAATCAATTTTTTAAAATTTATTTTTAATAAAATAACATACATAAGGTTGATAAATTTGATAAAATTAAATATTTGACATAAAATAAATATTAAATATTTAAAAATATGACATAATAAATATTTAAAATTATGTGTTTTGCACGAGTCCCCAACGTGTCGTGTCTTGCATTTTTTTAAAATTTGTGTGTTCGCTTGTCCGTGTCGTGTCCGTGTCCGTGTCCGTGCTCGTGTTCGCTTGGCCTTTTGATCTTTTGAATATTTTCCTGAAAATTGAGTTTTTGTTTTTCATGTTTTTAGTGAACTTTTTAATATTTGAAGTAAAAGTTTTTACTTTATAACTGCACATAACTTAGATGCACCGAAAAAATAAAATATTTGTGAAAAAATATTTAAAAAATACAATAAATACACAAGAATATGAAAATGTATTGAATTTTTGTATTTTTTGTATTTGATGATTTTTTTTTCCCATAAATATTGTACTTCTTAAGTGTATCTAGGTTAGGTGCATCTAAAAAGTAAAAACATTTCTTAAAATATTAAAATGATTTACTAAAAACAAAAAAACACGGAAAACAAAAACCTCAATTTTCTGAAAAGTAGGTTCAATTTTTTGAAACCAAACAAGGTATTATTTTCTATTTAAAATTGCAAAATTTTGAGAAGGTTGCCACACAGATATCATGTATATGATACATTCTCGAACTACTTGCTTTGTTATGTATGACTTTTAAATCTTTATTGGTAGTTTGTTCCCATGTTAGAAGTTTTTTATTGCATTCTTTAATTTATGTTGCTCATGCCTGTGTTGTATTCTTTTTAGAAATGTCTCACGACATTTTTGGTGCGTGTGGGCTGTATAACCACAGATGCCAAACACTGTTCTTATCAAGAGGTGTCTGACAAGTGTCATCAAAGTGTTGAAATTATGAAATTTCAATTTTAAATTAGGACACATTCAAGAAGTGTCTGAAAAGTGTCAGTAACACGTGTCCAAGAAGGACATGATTCCTACCTTGAAATGTCTATGCTACTAAATTTGGGCAATGCCTTAATACTGACCATTTATTGTTGCATTGCATGTGTACGAGTCCAGGGAAAGTATTCTCAAATTTTCTTGCTTTGACAGTATTGCTAGTACATACATTTCATTATTTGTTGTAAATTTATTGCTGCTATTTCTAGAGGAGCCTTGGCTTTTTTCAAAGAATCGGACAATTGCATATTACTTTTTCATTTTTAGTATTTTCTTTCTTCACTAAATTTCATTGATTTTCTTTGCTTCTCTACCTCTTTGCCTCTCAACATGAATAATGGTATGTGATGTTCATGTTCCTTCCAACCAAAAATTTTCATTGTTTTTGTGTGCTTCAAAATGTTGGCTCTTGTGAAAAAAAGGAAAACAAAAACATATAAAAACAAAAAAAATGCTAAAGTGGATACATAACATTATGTTCTTACAGGTCCAAAGGCCCGAGATAGAGCCTATTATCTACCGGGACCTTTTTCTTTTCCGTAATCTTGCTTCATTATTGAATGGCATCAGTCTACAAAAACTGGGATGCAATGCAGAGCTTATAGTTGATGAATTTGGGGAAAAGCTCTTGGAGGAGTTAGACTATACTTTGGTAATATCCAGACCTGTCCTTCGTTTGTGCCAAACAAATAATCATAATTATGCTTTTAAAAATTGGTAAAATTGAAATTCGGATGAAAATTACTTGCCTGCTTTTAGATTTATGGTTTTGAGGGGCATAATGTTAATGTGAGTAGATTTTTTGTACACAGTTCCGGTTTTACTGAAAAGCATAGCAAAAAATGAAGATATATTTACATGTTATCGACTTGCTATTTTTTGTTTAGGAAGCTCGTAATATTGAAGATTTTTTGGAGAACTTCAAAAATGATCCCACTGTCAAAATTCCTGGGGTTTACAAGCAGCTTTGTGGTTCACGTGTTTTGGTAATGGAATGGATTGATGGTATACGGTGTACTGACCCACAGGTTGGCATGTTATATTATTTCCAAATGCAATGTTTTGTGAGATATTTGCTGGTATTTAATAGAGGCTCCTCCATCTAACTCAGGCTATTAAGGATGCTGGCATTGATGTAAATGGATTTTTGACTATTGGAGTGAGTGCTGCTCTACGACAGTTGCTGGAATTTGGGTTTTTTCATGGAGATCCACACCCTGGAAATATCTTTGCTATGCGTGATGGGCGTATTGCGTATGTGGACTTTGGGAATGTTGCTGTGCTGAGTCAGGTAATATTAGAAACAATTTATTCTCATCAAGTCACACCACATAATTTTGGATTAACCGTAGGCTCTCATTTTCTCTGAGAGCTTTAACATGTTAATTATGCCCTTATTTTATTCTAGATTTATTCTAAAGGTATTATCAAACTAGAGTTTACTTAAATGTATTGATGTAGGACAAGATTTTACGAATTTTTATATTTTTAGTTTTAATATTTTTGGTATATTATTTGATTAGGATTCTTGTAATTTAGAATAAATATTTTAGAATTAGGTTTCTTAATTTGTTTTGATTTATTTTTTCTAATATCTTAGGTTTCTTGTTTTCCAAGAATTAGATTAGTTTATTATTATTATTATTTTAATTTTATATTTCTTGGTGTCCAAGAATACTTGGTCTCCAAGATTTAGATTATTATAAATAGGTATGTAAGCCTTATGACAAATACAATATAATTCAGTTTCTTCATATTTTTCTCTTTCTTGTAGATTCAAGAGTCTTCGTCTACTAGACAGAAACTATAGCAGCTGCCAGTCTGGGTCAAGTTTACCGAGCTACTCTACGTGCCTCAGGGGAGGACGTTGCTATTAAGGTTGTAATAAGTTCATCTGGTAAAGTTCTTGTCATGTTATCATATTATATTGTCATTTATCACTTCTTAACCATTTGAAACTTGTTCAATCTGGTGGTTGTTCGTCATTGCTGGAATGACTATATTGGTTAATCTCCTTCAAGGCATTTTAGAATAGATTTTGGAACTGGCATAAAGAAAGGAGAATGACTGCAAACATGTTTGGTATAGCGGATTGAGAAACTTTCATAAATATTTCTTACAAAGGACACTTTTTAGGAAGCTCCTAAAAGCTGTCTTGTGTGTTTTTAAGACCTAATGCATGAAAAAAATGACAAAAATGCCTAAATTTATTTTTTTTTTTTTTTTTTTTTGGGTTGAAAAATTCATTGTTTTCCTTTTTAGTATTAAAAAGAAAATAAACTGAATGGGAATGAGTTTTCTGAAATGTATGTAGCACATATATTTATATTTTATGTGTAAGTTAGATACTGAGAAGGCCTATGATAATGTGGACTGTGAGTTTTTGTTTTACGTGTTGGAGAAGATAGGCTTTGGTGGATAGTGGATTAGGTGGCTACGATTTTGTATCAGCTTCTGTCACATTACACTGTTTGCTTGCAATGGTAAAAGCTCAGTCTCCAAGTTTGGGAATACAGGTTTGAGTTTGAAGGTAGTCACTTTCTGCAAATTATGCTAAAGGTTAAGTTTGTACCCAGTCTAAGCCTCCCAACAACCTCGATTATTAGGGGTAACACTGGGTTAATGACCTTTTCTTATTGTAGTTCCCACATTATTCTTTCTTCCCTCTGTTAGCCTGTTAAGTGAGTTCCCCTGTATTTAAGCAGGTTTAACATGCTTGTGTCTCCAAAAGTGAGTGCGCAAGGTTTCAATTGTATACACAATTTCTTTTGGGTCTTTGGTGAATGAAAGCATGTTGGTGTAAAGCGAAGTCCCACATTGCCCGAGTACTAAGGTATTGTTAAGCATATAAGCATGCGGCCACCCTCACCTCTTGAGCTAGCTTTTGGGGTTGAGTTCTACCCAAGTCCATGTAACAATCTGTTCTTTTGCAACTCATCTTAAGATTGTGATGGTAAAATTTCATGTATTTCACCTTTATGAAACTTTGTTATGGGTGAGGATAGTTGCAACACACATCTTAGAGGCTATTTCCAAGATCTCTTGAAGAATATTTTCTAGAAAAAAAAGAAAAAAGAATTGAGTATTCAAAACAGAGGTAATTGCAAGGAAAGTAGATAGTTTGGTGGATGAAATCTCACGACAATGCAATTGAGGGATGTTCAATGAAAATAGGAGGGAATAAAAGTAGCATCTATGAAGCATGGACACCTCTTCGGAGGTGGCGTACAGGTGTTGGACATGCTGGGACACTTGGGACATGCCACGGACACGTTGACGACACGCTAGGGACATGCTAAGGACATGTTGGGGACATGCTGAGGACACGTTTTTTTTTATAAAAAAAAATCAATTTTTTAAAATTTATTTTTAATAAAATAACATACATAAGGTTGATAAATTTGATAAAATTAAATATTTGACATAAAATAAATATTAAATATTTAAAAATATGACATAATAAATATTTAAAATTATGTGTTTTGCACGAGTCCCCAACGTGTCGTGTCTTGCATTTTTTTAAAATTTGTGTGTTCGCTTGTTTGTGTCGTGTCCCGTGTCCATGTCCGTGTCCGTGCTCGTGTTCGCTTGGCCTTTTGATCTTCTGAATATTTTCGTGAAAAGTGAGTTTTTGTTTTTCATGTTTTAGTGAACTTTTTAATATTTGAAGTAAAAGTTTTTACTTTATAACTGCACATAACTTTGATGCACCGAAAAAATAAAATATTTGTGAAAAAATATTTAAAAAATATAATAAATACACAAGAATATGAAAATGTATTGAATTTTTGTATTTTTTGTATTTGATGATTTTTTTTCCATAAATATTGTACTTCTTAAGTGTATCTAGGTTAGGTGCATCTAAAAAGTAAAAACATTTCTTAAAATATTAAAATGATTTACTAAAAACAAAAAAACACGGAAAACAAAAAACTCAATTTTCTGAAAAGTAGGTTCAATTTTCTAAAACCAAACAAGGTATTATTTTCTATTTAAAATGCAAAATTTTGAGAAGGTTGCCACACAGATATCATATATATGATACATTCTCGAACTACTTGCTTTGTTATGTATGACTTTTAAATCTTTATTGGTAGTTTGTTCCCATGTTAGAAGTTTTTTATTGCATACTTTAATTTATGTTGCTCATGCCTGTGTTGTATTCTTTTTAGAAATGTCTCACGACATTTTTGGTGCGTGTGGGTTGTATAACCACAGATGCCAAACACTGTTCTTATCAAGAGGTGTCTGACAAGTGTCATCAAAGTGTTGAAATTATGAAATTTCAATTTTAAATTAGGACACATTCAAGAAGTGTCTGAAAAGTGTCAGTGACACGTGTCCAAGATGGACATGATTCCTACCTTGAAATGTCTATGCTACTAAATTTGGGCAATGCCTTGATACTGACCATTTATTGTTGCATTGCATGTGTACGAGTCCAGGGAAAGTATTCTCAAATTTTCTTGCTTTGACAGTATTGCTAGTACATACATTTCATTATTTGTTGTAAATTTATTGCTGCTATTTCTAGAGGAGCCTTGGCTTTTTTCAAAGAATCGGACAATTGCATATTACTTTTTCATTCTTAGTATTTTCTTTCTTCACTAAATTTCATTGATTTTCTTTGCTTCTCTACCTCTTTGCCTCTCAACATGAATAATGATATGTGATGTTTATGTTCCTTCCAACCAAAAATTTTCATTGTTTTTGTGTGCTTCAAAATGTTGGCTCTTGTGAAAAAAAAGAAAAACAAAAACATATAAAAAAAAAAATGCTAAAGTGGATACATAACATTATATTCTTACAGGTCCAAAGGCCCGAGATAGAGCCTATTATCTACCGGGACCTTTTTCTTTTCCGTAATCTTGCTTCATTATTGAATGGCATCAGTCTACAAAAACTGGGATGCAATGCAGAGCTTATAGTTGATGAATTTGGGGAAAAGCTCTTGGAGGAGTTAGACTATACTTTGGTAATATCCAGACCTGTCCTTCGTTTGTGCCAAACAAATAATCATAATTATGCTTTTAAAAATTGGTAAAATTGAAATTCGGATGAAAATTACTTGCCTGCTTTCAGATTTATGGTTTTTAGGGGCATAATCTTAATGTAAGTAGATTTTTTGTACACAGTTTCTGTTTTACTGAAAAGCATAGCAAAAAATGAAGACATATTTACATGTTATCGACTAGCTATTTTTGGTTTAGGAAGCTCGTAATATTGAAGATTTTCTGGAGAACTTCAAAAATGATCCCACTGTCAAAATTCCTGGGGTTTACAAGCAGCTTTGTGGTTCACGTGTTTTGGTAATGGAATGGATTGATGGTATACGGTGTACTGACCCACAGGTTGGCATGTTATATTATTTCCAAATGCAATGTTTTGTGAGATATTTCCTGGTATTTAATAGAGGCTCCTCTATCTAACTCAGGCTATTAAGGATGCTGGCATTGATGTAAATGGATTTTTGACTATTGGGGTGAGTGCTGCTCTACGACAGTTGCTGGAATTTGGGTTTTTTCATGGAGATCCACACCCTGGAAATATCTTTGCCATGCGTGATGGGCGTATTGCATATGTGGACTTTGGGAATGTTGCTGTACTGAGTCAGGTAATATTAGAAACAATTTATTCTCATCGAGTCACACCACATAATTTTGGATTAACTGTACACTCTCATTTTCTCTGAGAGCTTTGACATGTTAATTATAACCTTATTTTATTCGAGATTTATTCTAAAGGTATTATCAAACTAGAGTTTACTTAAATGTATTGATGTAGGACAAGTTTTAGGAATTTTTATATTTTTAGATTTAATATTTTTGGTATATTATTTGATTAGGATTTTTTTAATGTAGTATAAATATTTTAGAATTAGGTTTCTTAATTTGTTTTGATTTATTTTTTCTAATTTCTTAGGTTTCTTGTTTTCCAAGAATTAGATTAGTTTATTATTATTATTATTGTTATTATTATTATTTTTAATTTTATATTTCTTGGTGTCCAAGAATACTTGATCTCCAAGATTTAGATTATTATAAATAGGTATGTAAGCCTTATGGCAAGAACAACTTCCATGCAATATAATTCAGTTTCTTCATAATTTTCTCTTTCTTGTGGATTCAAGAGTCTTCGTCTACTGGAATGATATTTAGTTTCGTGCGTATTCTGCTGTGTCAAGTGGTATCAAGGCATGGATTCACCTAGCTCGATGACACAAGACAATGGAGAACACACAACCCCTATTGAGTTGGTAAAAATTTGCAATGAAATTGTAGTTGCAAAAGAAAAGACTGCATATCCAAATATTATTTGTAGTGAGATTGTTTGTAAAACTAATGAAGAAGATACAAAGTCTTGTTCGAGGGTTGATAATGCATCAACACTTGGTAATTTGAATGCCGGAGAGAAAGTTTTACATATAGATCATAAAAATATTGAAGAAGAAGGAGATCCGATTGAGCCTAGTAACAAAGAGAAAATAGAAGAAGAGATAATACAACCGCTGTGTGCCACAAAGAAATTGGTTGATACTACACTTGATGTTCCAGGGTTGATAATTGAAGGGATCAATTGAATCTGGGATGGTGCAAAATCAATTGAGCATGCAAGTTCTACATAAAGCAATTTTTGTTGATTTTCTTGGTGTGGAGCAACTTAATTTGATTTTCAATGCTTGTCTAATTGATCTTGTCAACCAATAGAAGCATATAGAGAAGAACTTTTAGAAAGTAGACTTTTCTACAAATAATTTTTGGAAGAGGGACAAACAATTGAAGTATTCCAAGTATCCTTTTATTTGGCATGGACGATAGCAAATCTCTAATATGAACTCGAGGACGAGTTCTTTCAAAGAAGAGGAGTCCGACGTAGGACAAGATTTTAGGAATTTTTATATTTTTAGTTTTAATATTTTTGGTATTTTTTGATTAGGATTCTTGTAATTTAGTATAAGGCCTTTAGTAATTTTTTGGTTTTTTGTCTAAAATATGATGTAAAAAAAACTAATATGTTTGGAATGACTTTTTGATTTTTTACAAGATGTGCAAAAAGTAGAGAGAAAAGAAAATCTTTGACTTTTTGGTATAAGATGTTGACTTTTTGGCTTTTAGACTAAAAAGTAATGTTGCCAAACGAGACCTAAATATTTTAGAATTAGGTTTCTTAATTTGTTTTGATTTCTTTTTTCTAATTTCTAGGTTTGTTATTTTCCAAGAATTAGATCAGTTTATTATTATTTTTTTAATTTTATATTTCTTGGTGCGCAAGAATACTTGGTCTCTAAGATTTAGATTATTATAAATAGGTATGTAAGCCTTATGGCGAGAACAACTTCCATGCAATATAATTCGATTTCTTTATCATAATTTTCTTTTTCTTGTGGATTCAAGAGTCTTCGTCTACTAGAACGATATCTAGTTTCGTGCGTATTCCGCTGTGTCTAGTCTGATGTAGGACAAGATTTTAGGAATTTTTATATTTTAAGTTTTAATATTTTTGGTACATTATTTGATTAGGATTCTTGTAATTTAGTATAAATATTTTAGAATTAGGTTTCTTAATTTGTCTTAATTTCTTTTTTCTAATTTCTTAGGTTTTTTGTTTTTCAAGAATTAGATTAGTTTAATATCACTATTATTATTATTAGTATTTTATTTTTAATTTTATATTTCTTGGTGTCCGAGAATACTTGGTCTCCAAGATTTAGATTATTATAAATAGGTATGTAAGCCTTATGGCAAAAATAGGATTACAAACGAACCGAACTGTTCATGAACAACTTGAGTTCGGCTCGTTTAAAGCTCGTTTGAGCTTGCCTCGTCTACTAAATGAACGAGCTTGAGCTCAATTTTTAGGCTCGTTTGTTAATCGAGCCGAGCTCGAGTAGCCCTAAGCTCGGCTCGATAAGGCTCGTAAACATAAAAATAAATAAATAAATATTTATTTTTAATAATATATTATATAAATTTTCAATAATCTATTGTATTTTTTATTTGTGTTTGGTGTTTGTGTAAATTTACATGTTTGATTGATGAAATTTATTATTAATAGAAGTATTATTATATATTTGGCTCATAATTTTGTGTTTTCTTTTATCTTAATAAGTAAATTAATTTAAATTAAATTTATTTTTTCAAGCTCGAGCTCGAGCTCGAGCTCGAACTCGGCTCGTTTATGTAACCGAGTGAGCTCAAGTTGAGCTCGAGTTCAACAAATATTTGACGAGCTGAGCTCGAGCTCGAATTTTGAAGCTCGACTAGAGCCTGGCTCGAGCTCGACTAATTCTTAATAAACGAGCTTGAACATTCAAAAGCTCGGCTCGTTTGCTGCCCTAGGCAAGAATAACTTTCATGCAATATAATTCAGTTTTTTCATAATTTTCCCTTTCTTGTGGATTTAAGAGTCTTCGTCTACTAGAATGATATCTAGTTTCATGCCTATTCCGCTGTGTCATGTATTTTCACTAGTTCACACGAGATAGATGATTTATGTGGAGTATTGAATAGGTCTTGCCTTGTGAGTGAAAGGTTTTTGTCGCAAGGGGATTCATGACCGAACAAACAAAGGATTTGAGGTAAATAATGGCTTGTGCTGGAAAGTTGAAATATTTTCTGAAATGAATTAGGGCACAAAAAGATCACGCTTATTGAATTGGTTGAGTTCATTGGTGTTAACAATGTAGGTAATAGAAAAAAGAATAAAGATATTATTCTCTCTACTCACTAATAGTTTTTACTTTTTATTAACTACTAGTGATTTAGAACCTCATTGGAGTTGCTAGTAGCTGGACTTCACCCCCGTCTTGCGGCTAATTGTTATTGTCATTACCATCAAAGTCGATGCCACCGCAACCTTAGACAAACTCGTTGTAGTTCCTCTTTGCACTGGACAAGTCTTCCTGGTTGGAATTCCTCTATTGTTGAACCCTCACAACCAATTGACCCCTTTTCTCCCTCTTAGAACTTTGTTGCACCATTTTAGACCATCATAATCTCTCTTCTACAACCTAGCGCTCATCACCCAACAATTACAACATCCTTATGACACAACCCAGTACTGCAACTCAGTCCTGACTCTTCCTCTCTGCGTCGCAACACTTGTCACAATCGGGCAATCACGACTCTCCATATTTGCATTGCAACTTTGATTGCATCATCACTGGTGTCGTCTGCATTAAACCAATCATTTAGTGCTCTACTTTGTATCTTAATTTTCTCTTCATTGTGACCCATGACTTATATGACCCAAATTGATATAAAAAGGGCAACCCAACACAAATCGTCATGGTTTCCACACATGACTTCAGAGTATACTGATTGGCCTCAATATCAGTTTGCACCGCCATTTTTTGCTCCACCGACCGCATCGGAAAGTTCAACGGAGCAAACACAGAGGTGTTTGGTTGAGGGTCACTGGCCACCGCACCAGTTATTTCTCTTGTGGGCTCGTTCAGTTCTGGAAAGAGCGTGAGCAGACCACGGGAAGAGGAGGCCATGTTTTGGGTAGCTGGATGGGAAGAAGAGGCCATGTTGCTGAGTGTTTCAGAGACAGGTTGGTTACAGCGTATTACAGAGTTTCTCTCTCAGGCCAGGAAGAGTTTTTCAGAAGATTTTAGCAGGTTTTCTGCCTCAGCCTCCGCATTGATTTATATAGAACATGACGAAGCGGCAGACACGCGCATCATGCGTCGCTCGACGCTCGTCGACAATATGGGCGTGTCTTTTGATGGCACGCCTTTTGATGAATTGGGCACGCCTTTTGATGGCACGCCTTTTAAAAGATTGGGCACACCTTTTGAGGGTGCAACTTTTACAACGGTCCGACATGACCCTATAAACTGTCCCGACATTTGATTCCGGTTAGCTTTTCCAACGGTCCGACATGACCCTATAAACTGTCCCGACATTGATTCCGGTTAGCTCCTTTATGGGTCCGACAAGACTATGTAAACTGTCCCGACATTGATTCCGGTTAGTTTCTACAAGGGTCCAGCAAGACTCTGTAAACTGTCACAACAACTGTCACAGCATTGTCTGCTACAACGGTCCGACATGACCCCATTAACCGTCTGCTACAACGTTATGATACCCCCATACAGTGTCCTCTACAACGTTATGACACCCCCATACAGTGTCCTCTACACCGTTATGACACCACCATTTAGTGTCTTCACCAATGGTCTGACACGACCATACATTGTCTCCTATCCTCTTTTATTTTTATGTATTTTTCTTGTTTTGTTCCTCTCTCCAAACTCAAGTTGGTTAGTTTCTATCCTCCTTGAGTTTGCGGGGGGCTGTTAAAATTTACCTACACCTACCACCACCTACTGCCACACCTACTACACCTACCACCAATTTACCCTCACCTACTCCTCACCTACTACCCAAATCCTCTTCTATATAATAGGAATCCTTGTAATATCAATAACACAACAATCAATAAATCAATCAATAATACATCATTTTTAACAAACAACTTGAGTTCGGCTCGTTTAAAGCTCGTTTGAGCTCGACTCGTCTACTAAATGAACGAGCTTGAGCTCAATTTTTAGGCTCGTTTGTTAATCGAGCCGAGCTCGAGTAGCCCTAAGCTCGGCTCGATAAGGCT